AAGTGTTTTGCTGACTTAATATATTATATAAATCAATGCGAAACATCTATATCGATTCACTATATAAAACGTTATGAAACATTTTCGTCTGTTTCATGAGATTTTTTAATGAATCTTGGATATTTTTGATCTTATTTTAAATCTGCAAGTGGTTTCCTACTACTACAGCTTTTTTGAACGATATTTTTAGCTTATTTTTTGTTGAAATGTACTAGTTTAAAAGCGTTGTATGTAACAGGGGATCGCATAAATTTTGCGAGAGATATCTAGGGGAGTTGGGCACATCATCAGGATTAAAATTGCATAGGAATCCACGCTCGAAAATGTCGTCATACGCCGCTAAGGGCGCTTCCCTATTATGTGTTTCTGAATTGGTCATAATAGGAAAGTACTTCTAACCACGCACGATGACACTTCCGGGCATGAGTTCCTATGCAATTTGAATCCTGTTGATGTGCCCTAACTCCTCTAGAATATTGCTGAAACATTTACTTGTCCTCCTGTTACATGTAATGTTTTTAAACTTGTTTATTTTGACAAAAAATAGACTGAAAATGTCAATTTTAATCAATTTGTAACTTTAGGAGTAAAACTAATTTCACAAATGAAATTAGGCTGCATTCGAATTAGGCTAGATCAAGTGTTTGTATAAATGCAATAAAACATTTGTTCACCAGTGTAATCAATACCTATACATTATATATTGATTGTGTATAGAGTATAGGTGTTGTATACAGTATATGTAATCAATAAAGTGGATATGGGTTGTATGTTACGAGAAAAGAAAATGAATTAATAAAGATGTAATAATAAAATTTTATTGACCATATTCGCTGGTAATGCCTCTATCACACGAGAGAAAAATATGTGCAACTGCAAGTGTAACTGCAAGTGTAAGTGAAACTCTAAGCGCAATTCCTCCGTTCGGAGTTGCCGAAAGGGTTGCTTAATTGCCTGAACGGTTGCATGTAATTGGGTTACCATATTTTGTTATTTATCTTTACTTTTGGCTCATATTTTATTTTATCATATTTTATTATATCATAGTTTCTGAACGATGTTCGTAAAGGGAGGAAAAAGAAATCACAGACGCTGTAGANATCACACGAGCAATTTTTGGAGAAATTTCACTTACAGTTGCACTTACACTTGCAGTTACACTTGCAGTTACACTTGCATTTGCACATATTTTCTCTCGTGTGATATAGCCATAAGTAAGGAATGCACGATTTGTGCATAATATACGAAGAAACGAAAAAATGCGATTTCTCACATTAAAATGAAATTCAATTAGGGTCATAGTTTTCCCTGATCTAAAGCAATGTCATACAGTCATAAGTCATAGTTTCAATGAGGTTGGCTAAAAAGGAATGGTGTATTCTTCACCACTCCTGTAGAAGAAAGTATTCCAACTGCTGAATTGTTTTTTGGAGGTGATAAGCGACAAGCTATCTTTTCTTTTAAAAAGTATCAAACATGTTCCATTGGTTTCATATTCGGGAAACATGCTAGCATATCTTACCGATGGATACCATTGACTAAACAAGAATTTATCTACTAGCTGAGCACAATGTGTACTATCGTTATTATTATCCATAAGTTCTTCTCCAATTGCTGCTGTGCAAGGGTTCACAATATCTTTTAGAATGTCATCCTTACATCACTGGGCCATTAGAGTTTTTTTCCTGATAATAAGGCTGTTGCGGCTATTGATAGAAATATTGTCCCAGACCGTTACTCCACTTACACAAAATCAGGCATTTTCATATACTAATAAGCAATTATTTTGTGATCCACGTACACTTCAGATTATTATCCAGGTTGTACAGTACGCAAGAAAAGTGATCACCTTGAATAAGTTTTGATTTAAGGATCAAATATTGATCTAAGGATCTTAAAGTTCTGAGGATCTAACCTTGAAAATAGTGCGCGGAATATTTTAAGTTACTAAACTGGACATAAAAACGTACCTTCTCTGAATAAAGATGTCTTTTTTTCCCGACTGCCTTGGATTTTTGACTCTCAAAATATAATTGTGGGGGGGGGGGTACAATCTGGAAAATATGGTCCTAATAATTTAATTAGGAAAGCAATAGAAAGACATATAGGCCTCGTAATGTTAATTTCACTTTTTTGAGCCTTTAGATATTCCACTAGAATTTTTTAAGTGAATTAAAAAGTTTTTGCACACAAGTATGAAATTCGTTTATCTACGTAAAAGTAATTTTAAGTAGTCATTTAATATTTAAAAAATGTTTAATAATAGTCAAAATAATCTCAAATTGTAAGTTATACGAATTTCACATCATTTTGAAACATATAATTTAAATAACAAATTAAAATATTTCGACAAAATTGGTTGAATGGTTTTTGAGTTATCCAATTTAAAAAAAAACAATAACGTATATTTTAAATTTGATTTCTCGGAAAGGTGAATAGGATTATTGGAAAATCAGTTATAAAAAATATTAAATGAACTCATTACTTACTTAAATTAAAAATGTTTTTTTCTTTTAATTTATTTGTTCTTAGTTTAAAATCAAGTAAAGTTTTTATTTTTATTTTAGACAATTATAATTGCCACTATGGTACGATTATGGGGCATCCCTAGCCTAACGGTCTCTCCGATCCGCCAAGTGCTCTGTAGAATGGAGGTAGTGGGTTCGAATTCCATAGTAGTCCTGGATGCACCTTGGTGATGTCCCTCGTTAATTTATGCATTGTGTTCTTCAACTTGGCAATGCCATACAAACCGTTTTTGTAATGAGTACTCTCGCTTGCATTATGAAATTTTTTAACAATTTTTGATCGTTTTAGATTGCAATTTTCTTTTAATCAGTTTTGCCACCAAATGTTTTAGAATAGTAATCTAGAAATGAAACTAGAAAGAATCTTTCAAATAGCATGTGTTTACGATCACATAAAAAGAATCATTATACATATTGGCGTTATTGCAATATCCTAGTATTATTAGAAATACTCCTAATAATACCTTTAAAATATATCTCCATTTAAAAAAATATGAAGTTCAATTTATTAATTACTTAATATCGATATTTTTATCATATGATCACCTTCCTCGGCGTTGTTCGCAACCTTCTCCCAAAAATAGTGTAATAGTTTCATGTGACGAAGGCGGAGTCAAGAGCCAACTCCTGGTGAACAAACAATATCTTTGATTTTAATCCTTCTCCAACTTTTATTATCTGTTCTTCAACTTGTCCTCCGGGATGTTTCCCAGACCGTCGCCAACAGCCCATTGTGCAGCTCTAGTGCGACGTAAATGAACTACAACTACAACAACTGTTCTTCAACTTGACGAACGAGCCGCGGTAGCCCAGTGGTTAGAGAATCGGACACCCAATACATGCGATGTACGTTATCGTAAAATCTGTGGAATTGAAAGGCATATGGTCGGTAGCTGAGTAGTACCATGGGTACATAAATTTAGAGAAAATATCCTTCCCCTTCAGCTTTATGTCTAAATTAAAGAAGCGGCCTGGAAATGAGATCAAGGGGACCAAAAATTGTGATGGCATATCTTCATATTATCGTCAGGAATGTTTTGCAGACTGTCGCCAATAGCCCATTATATAGTTCTATAGCGACGTAAATAAAGTATCTGCCTATCTACCTATCAAGTACCTACCAATCAACTTGACGAATGCTTATAAACCGCGTCCCGTAGTGGACTGATCGTAAAGAAACTGTTCACAGTAGAACACCGATGTCAAACATCACTGACTGCGGTCAGTAAGCGGGTGGTTGACCACTTTGATCAGTCTGCGTAGAGATCAAAGGTGTGCGGTATCGGTCCTCGTTAAATTGCTCTACCGTTAAGTGCTTGACTTCTGTCACAGGTCGTCGGGCTACCAAAGCAGAGGAGCCACCCCCTTTGCAGAGGATCAAAATTGTGATGGCATGTCTTCGGATCATCCTCAGGGACGTTTCCCAGACAGTCGCCCATAACTCATTGTGCATCTCTAGAGCGACGTAAATAAAGTACCTACCTACCTTATAAGCCGTCTTTGTAATAAGCACACCAGTCAACATATGTGTGCGTAACAGCAACAAAAAAATAAGTGTGGTGACTACACGACCGAATAATTAGCATAAACTGGCACTATAAATATGAAAAAAGGAGCCTGCCTGGCCTAGCGGCATCTCCCGCCAAACTCAGCGAAAAGCGCTTAGGCAGTGGGTTCGAGTCCCACTGCTACTCAGGATGTAACTTAGTGCTGTCCTTCTCTGTATTGTGCTATCTGTCCTTCTATTTGACAAAGGTTTATAAGCCTAAATTGTGCTCACAAGATTGCAAATGCATATAATTCCAAAAAAAAAAAGTCCCGCAGTGAACTGATCGTTAACACACGGTTTCCAGCATATCACCAAAGTCAAGCATCACAGGCTGCAGTCAGTGTGCGGGTGGATGACCACTTGGATCAGTCTGCGTAGGGACCGAGGGTGTGCGGAATGGGTCCTCGTTAAGCTGTTCTACCGTAAAGTGCTCGACTTCGAACTACCGAAGCGGGGGTGCCATCCCCTCCACAGAGGATCAAAATTGAGATGGCATGTCTTCGGATCATCCTCCGGGATGTTTCCCAGACCGTCACCAATAGCCCATTGTGCAGCTCTAGTGCAACGTTAATGAACTAGAACTAGAACCAAAAAAAATAAATATGAAGAAGTCTTTGTTGTTGTTGTTAATTTACGNACATAAATATGAAGAAATCAATTCAGTTATTATATTTGTTAAATTTTAACTTAAATGTTTCTTTTTGGTTCGAACAGAATTGCAGTAATGATCGATATCACATGCCTTTATTATATGACCGAGTAATGTAAATAATATTAAATAGATCGACTTAAAATATCTTTTTTTTTCAACACATATTTATTACTCTTTTTATTAATTGATTTATAGTGATTTTTTAACTTTAATTTCTATTTTCATAAGATTGGCACTCTGAAAAAATTGTCGTGTTTTGCAAAAATCTTCGAATTTTGTATTGGAAAACACCAAAAAATTTTGTGAATGATTACTTTATTTCGAGTTACAATGAAATCGAGCGTTTATACACAATTTGAAGGGTGTATTTAAACTACAAGAATGGTGAATGCTTACAAGAATTTCGGACTTATTTACACTATTTATGTATTGTTTTTACCTTCGAAAACGTCAATTTCGGCTACGTTTCGAAAAAATCAATTAACAAAGATAATTATTTATTATCGAGCAGAAAAAGTTGTAAGTTTGTAGTCTTCTTAAATGCTGCTAAACATTCCACAGAAACAGAAGTTCACTGTTGCGAAAAGTATGTATGTTTTTCATTGCGTAATAAAGATAATTACATTCTCATGAGATTTACATAAATCTGTTATATTAAATACTTTCATAATATTTCATTTCTATACGTGCCGGTTCCATTAAGTATAATTCGAATTTATTTTGATACTCTCTCAGAGATGTGTATAGGCTAGAGAAACTAATTTTATTTTAAGAATCGGTGAGTGTATTTCTTCCAAATTAATAGATATTGTTGTAAATTGTACTATAAAAATAACATTCCAATTTTTACGGGAATTGCAATTTATTATCCTGTTTTGCCAAATGTTTTAGTGTTACTAAACACTAGAATTAGTGGAAAATACCTTAAACAAAAATGAGAGTAAGGAAACTTTTGTTGTGCTTCACTACATCAAAAATTATTTTTAGTATTCGATTACAACAAGAATTATTTTTGGTATTTAATACACCATTTTTGGTGTAAAGACATACTAAATTCTTTTTTATAACTTAAATTTTTATAAAAATACAAAGAAGGGATATTATTTTCCCAAACAGTCTGTTTTGTTTTGTAGAAACCCCAATACAGCAACCCTTTCATTATAGCGACCCAAGTTTGCTATTCCGTCAAAGCAATTTTATTATTACGCACTTTAAATTAATTTTCTTTCCAATATAGCTACGGAAATTCAGTTTCATTTTTTTTGTTTCCTCGTAAATCACTTTATAAATTAGTGTCAAGCATTTTTGAGCTTTCAAAATAAATGTTTCGATTAACTTCAAGTATATGATTTAACTTAAGTTTTAAAAAATTATTAAAAGCATTTCTTTTCATGCTACCATATATTAAAGATCTAACATTTTCAATGAATGCACCTTTTGAGTGTAGGAAGTGAAGAATCCTGAGATTTTTTCTGCAGGTGATTAGGATCTATAATCAAAATGTGGTCATAATTTGGATTACTTTACAGTGATAATCAAAATTGTACATTACTGCATTGTTAATTAGTTTAAAATAATGCATTCACGATTTTGGTAAATTTCTTTTCTTGTAGGGTGCAACAAATTTATCAATCGCGCTTTTTTTTATTTGAAAATTTTATTCAATTTTTTTGTGAAATTTTCGCCACCTGAAACATGCGTTATTTATCTATTTTTACACACACTAACTGAGTGAAGCCTCCAGGAAAGATCACATCTATGTAACAACCTCCTCCATTTACGACCACTTTTGGGATACACAGAATTTTTCAAATTGACAAATATTTAGAGAAAACATTTAGGAGAGATCATCAAAACCTCTCCTAGTGACCGGGCAATCTTTCTCACCAAATGCAGAAAAGGTTAATTGAGAAAATACGAAAAAATATCAAAACAAAAAATGTTAACGAAACAAATAAGTAAATTAAGATGTATTCAAATTATTTATTTGAGGGTCTTATTCAGAGAGTTTTTTAAGCTATCTCTGAAAGATCTACAACTTCATGTTGTAGTCAGAGTGCACTAAAGACAATGCTACGAATGATTTATTTTTAGAGTTGAAAGTTAAATTAGAAAAAAGTTATTTTAGGAAAAATAAGCATCTCAAACAAGCTTTAAAGTTAACTAATTTTTATGGTATAAAATTAAATGCTGACTTAAACAAAAATTCTAACTGTTTATTTATTTAAAATAGTTTTATCTTTCATGATTTCATTTTATTTTATAACCGTCGTTGAACAGCCGACCCAATCTTATGGGTTTATCTTATGGGTTAATCTAATGTTCAACTCCGTTGCCTTGTAATTTTGAACCCCATTCAGAAGACAAGGGAACTCCTGGATCGAGTATTGGGACAAATTTGCCTTCGTGGAGGACTTTTGATGGAGTTAACCCGCATTTGCATTACATGGAGAGGAAGACCACGAGAACCTCCCACGGTTAGCCTAACAGCAAGGGGACTCCAACCCATGATCCGTCTACCACTGAGGATATTTTACGTAAGCACTGTGGTCGGTGCAAGCCGGATGCGGAATTCGTATCGACTGGGATTCTAACCCGGATCTAACCCGGACTGGGATTCTAACCCGTATCTTTCATGATTGGTGAATTTATTTTTACCCATAATATGTCAGTAGGGATCATTTTTATTGACGCTAAATTTTATTCCTCGATACGGTTTTAATGACGCCTACGCAAGGGGCATTTCCGCACGAAGAAAAATACCCTGACTAAAATGAAACTCGTTAGTGAAAAATCATGTAACTTTGATAACGTTTTGAAGTCAATGCAGGTAACCCCTACGAACGGCCAACCTCTAATAACGACCATTTTACTGTGGAACAGAGAGTGGTCGTTCCAGAGAGGTTTCACTGTATAAAAACAAGTTGCGATATTATTAATTATTCTGTTAGTTTCCTAATTATTATTTAAATATAGAATTGTTTTGTCAAAATTAGTCTAGCATTTTTAATTATGTAAATATTTAAGGTATTTTTGTTTACTTACGATAGAACGACTTCACGTTATCAAGTGTGATTTCTTTTGAGTGACCGGGGTCATTATACTGAAATTAAATTGTTTCTACAAAAACTGAACCATGGCTGAAAAAACACGATTTGCACTGTCTCAATCTTAATCCTCCGAGAAGATTTAACTGTATTATATGATATATGAAAGCTTTTTTGAGCATATTTCTGAACTTTTCTTTTGGCCGTACGATAAGCAACTGGCCATTGAACAGCTGTTCTGGTTTTCAGTGCTTGAGGGGAAAATGCAAATAAAATCTGTTGTACACATTTATCCGTTGTAAACATGTAAACATTGATGAAGGTTGACGATTAGAGCGCAGAAATTTGATCATTAGAACAAATATTATTGTGTGTAATTGTTTTTAGGGTCGCTATCTATCAACACAAATACCATCTATATATTCGAACGCTCCAAGTAAATTAGTGAGCTAAACTTAGTGAGGGAAAATTTTGTTGACATAAAATTTTTTGATCTTACTTTGAAGTAATTTCCATTCAACATTTTCATTGAAACTATGATTACCAAATTTTATTGAAAAGCCTAGTTACGATATGCTTCCTCTAAACAGTTATTTGTCTTAAAAATTATTTCTTCTAACAGTAGCAAACCTATGTGTATCTGACAAATGTGTATTATTCGAATAATTATTAAGCAAAATATTGTTGTTCATTAAACTTAAGATACTGTTAATTGAAATATAACTAACAATCATTCATTTAATAATTTTTTTAAAAAAATATCAAATAGATTTAACGCTTGAAGCTAAGGGTTTGTTCTGGCGAAATTCGAATCCTTTAATGAATCCTTCACAAATTATATAATCGGGAAAATGGATCTTTTATAAAATATTTTATAGTAAAAGTAAACCTTCCACAATATGTTTTATTTTAAAAACAGCCCGTTCATAATATTTCCCATTTTAAAAACTGACTCTTTACAAAACATTTTCTTGAAAAAACGAGCTGTTATGTCATTTTTGAATGCTTTGCGTGTAATAGAATTATTTGCAAAAAATTTATTGATCTATACTATTTACAGAGTGAAATTTACTAACCTCTACGTAATGATAAATTTTGTAAGTATCATATTCTTAGCGTGAATATGACAGTTTCAAAATTCTGAGTACGGATTCAAATAATTCCGAGATTTTTCACAAAAATGGGAATTTGCAAAAATGGAAATTTCCATTGCAAATCTGAGCTGATTTTCGAAAGCATAGGCATACACTCCTTCCAGACTGAAATTGCTAACCCCTACATAATGAAAAATTTTGTAAGTGTCCTAATTCTGAGATTTTTCACAAATTCACAAAATGGGACCTTTTATAAAAAAAAATCTGATCTGATCTCCAAAAGCATAGACCTATACTTCTTCCAGAGTGAAATTTACTAATCCCTACACAATAACGAATTTTGTAGCTGTCATAATTCTGAGCGTGAAAAGAATCATAATCCGTCGAAGAGCTTTAACTGTATTATGTGATATCAGAAAGTGTTTTTGAGCATATTTTTAACTTTCCTTTGGTTGGACGAAAAGTAACTGGTCATTAAACAGCTGCTCTGATTTTCAGTGTTAGAGAAAAAAACAGAATCAAATGTGATCCGTTCGCCAAATGTGGTAAACGCTCGGCAATTTCACTTCTCAGAAAATCATACGTAGGTGGATAATATAGAAAAGAGTTTTTCTGAATGGCGGCTTCATCTAATATACCACAAACACGGTTTTATAGTTCACCCATGAAGCTTTTTGTTGTTGCATTGCTATCCAGCTTAAAAAATCTCGACAATAGCACGAGTAAGTACTGTTTAACTACATTCAATGCAAATGTCATTAATTATCGACGGCGTTATATGCTACTTGATTGAATGATGTGATTTGTTGCTCTTATTATCGCTAGATTTAGTTTAATGTCATTTAAATGTGACAGCAGAGATGTGTGGGTGTCTGGGGCAAACTCCTTGGCTAGATGCCCCTGAAGAGGGGGTCACTGGAATGAGTAAATAAAAACCTATCTAAATAATAAGAAAAACACAAGCATTTTTTAATATAAGGATTTAAAGTTTTATTAATATGTATTTTAATTTATTTTTTTATGCATATTTTAAGGTAAAATTATTCTATGATAAGAAAATATTTTTCAATCGGGACATTTCTTTTTTGTATTTTAATGCATTAAAATTTTATTACTAAATTTGTTTGAAAATTATGTTGCATTCAGAATAAAAATTTTTCCTCTGACAATATTTACATATTGAAAAGTTTGATTTCATATTAAAAATAATAGTTATCAAGTTTAAATTCCTATTTTAATTTCGTTTTTTATGTGAATTCAAGTAGAAATTATTCTATGATAAAGAAGGCTTGCAGTCGTGATTTTTCTCTTTAGTACTTTAGCGTTCCAATATTTTTATTAGTAAATTTGTTAGAAGACTATATATTTATCATAAAATATTTTTCTTGGGCCAATATTTAGCTGATCAAAAGCTGGATTTATATATTATGTGTTCATAATATTAA